CACCATCATATCCACAAGGCCTTCATTTTATTTGATGGCAACGAAGTTATCAATAGCATAATTAAATCAGATTTGGGTAAAGGTAGTTACTTAGGACACAGACTGAGAGAATCAGAACTACCTTTTTGGAACATCTATGTGTGCAAAATTGTGTTACAGTCTTTATATTTATTTTATTATTGAAATATTCATGTATTCATTTATTTCGATGCCAGTATATGGCACCACCACTGGCCTAGATATTCTAGTTAAAATATGAGGTTCTCTCCACTCCAACCCCTTTACATTCTGCCTTCTTAATATTTGTCAAATCTTTTTTCTCCAATCTCATAGTCACTGGCTTAGTTCATATCCTTATTTCTTACTTGGATTTCTTTTTATAACTTAATTTTTTAGGAACAGAGTCTCACTCTATCACTCAGACTGTAGTACAGTGGCATATTCACAGCTCACTGTAACCTCAAACTCCTAGGCTCAAACAATCCTCAAACAATCCTCCTACCACAGCCTCCCAAGTAGCCAAGAATACAATGCGCACCACCAAGACCCACTATTTTTTAAAAAAACTTTTTATAGATACATGGTGTTGTTATGTTGCCCAGGCTGGTCTTGAACTCCTGGCCTCAAGTGATCCTCCTGCTTCAGCCTTTCAAAGTGCTGGGGTTACAGGTGTCAGCCGTCATACCCAGCCCTTACTTGGATTTTTGCAACTGCTTCCAAACTAGTGTTTCTACACTAATCACTATTTCCTACTAATCTGTTACCTATGAGATGTTACCAAAGTGATTTAAAATACCTATGGACTAACGAGATATGGTTATCTGCACCAACCACCCCCAATATACAATGGTAAAATAGGTATAATGGTAAAATAGGCATAGGATACCTGCTCTGGACATGTCTATTCAAGGAGATAAAATGAGAGGCAGTTTTGAAATTAAGATGGAAAAATGTTGGAAGATCCTTGATTAGAACTCAGTGCTATTCTTGCCTATGGCTTTTGGCTCCACCCTCTAGGCTATTAATTCTACCCTCTAAATCAGCTTTCCCTTTTCACAAAAGATAGCATGTGTTTATAGCTGAGTAGTTTCCTCAGTTTACTGCCTTCCAGTAAAGTTTTGGGGCTATTAGACCCCCAAAACATAACAAAAAATTAACCGTATTTAATAGTGTAAAATTCTGAGGTCATTAAATATTCATTAGCTTATATTTCTTACATGATTTTTCTTATCCATAGTAAGCACAGAAATTCACAAATATAGACATATAGATGGTAAATGATGTTTCGTTTCTCTGACAAAATCAAGTGTTAATGTTTCCATTATGAACTGTCTCTGGAAGTGTTTTTGCTGATATAGTTATTTTTAAAACTTTGTGGGTTCACTGTGAATCTTTTTAGAGTCCACTAGAATGGAAAAAATCCACATCCAGAAATCTCTTTGAGATAATCCCATTTCAATTTTGTGCTTATGTTGAACCTCTAAGAAACTTAAATGCCCTTAAGTTTCTTAGAAGATATATATATATATATATATATATATATATATATATATAAAGTTATAAATGTTTGAATTCAAATCATACTCTCAAAGTCTAATTTAAAGGGGTTTTCATCTAATGGAATGATATTCTTAGGTATGGCCAGAAATCATTCTGAAGTCTTAACAAATGACTGTGCAACTCCCACAGTTGGCTTCATCTTTAGACCATATTTTTTCAAAGTTCTTTATTTCTGATGCTTTATTGGAAGCCATTTCTTAATTTTAGCATTATTTGCCATCTGGAGAAGCTGAGGTTTTTCAAAATCAAGGTTCAGCTCATTAGTCTTTAACAGTTCCTCCTTTAATTCATATCTTTTCTCCCTCAACTAAGCAGCAAGGAGAAATTAGAACACTTTATTTGGAAGTCTCCTTTGTTAGACCACCCAGTGTGTTAGGTACTTGTTTTTTTAACTTTCCACATCACAGCTAACCAACTTCCTGTTACTACATAACAAGGATTCTCCTTCTCCAGTTTCCAATAGTACACCCTTTACTTCTTGTTAAGCCCTCACTAGCAGCCTTCTCAATGTTCAAGAGTTTTATTCACAATCTATGTAAGGTAATTTATGCTTTTTTTTTTTTTTTTTTTTTTTTTTTTTTTTTTTTTTTTTGAGATGGAGTCTGCTCTGTCACCCAGGCTGGAGTGCAGTAACATGAACATGATCTTGGCTCACTGCAACCTCCACCTCCCGTTCAAACGATACTTCTGCCTCTGCCTCCTGAGTAGCTGGGACTACAGGCACGTGCCACCATGCTCAGCTCATTTTTGTATTTTTAGTAGAGGCAAGGTTTCATCATGTTGGCTAGGATGGTCTCCATTTCTAGATCTCACGATCTTCCCCCCTCAGCCTCCCAAAGTGCAGGGATTACAGGCGTGAGCCACCGTACCTAGCCAATTTATGCTTTAAAATACATACACACACACACACACACACACACACACACACACCACACACACACATATACACACCTCAAAGTCTTCTGCCTACTGCCTGACTCCAAAATCATTTTCAAAATTTAGGGTTTTATCTTGGTTCCAAAATCTGTATTAGTTGTCAATTTCTATATAACAAATTATCCCAAATCCTAGCAGTTTAAAACAAAGGGCATTTTTTTTCTTTTTGCATAGTTTCTGAGGATTATGAATGCTGAAACAGCTTAGCTGGGTGATTGTGATGCAGGGTCTCTCAAGCTGTTGGCTAGGGCTGCAGGTTTCTGAAAGCTTGACTGGTTTGGAGGCTTTGCTTTCAAGCTCACTCAGATGGCCCTTGGCCAGAGGACAAAATTCCTCACTATCTGTGTCTCTCCATACGGCTGCTCATAACATAGAAGCTGGTTTCCCCAAAACAAATTATTCAAGAAAGAAAGGGAGCATCTAAAATGGATGCTTTTATAACCTAATCTTTTAAAACCTAATCTTCTATGACCTAATCTTTTATGATCTAATCTAATCTTTTAAAACCTAATCTTCTATGACCTAATCTTTTATAATCTAATCTCTGAAGCGGCCTACCACTAATTCTGCTATAGTCTTTGTATCACACCAACTAACTTTAGTGCAGTGGGGGAGGGGACCACACTAGAATGTGAATACCAGGAGGGAGGGGGGCTATGTTGGAGGCTGGAAATAATAATGATGATAATGTCACCATCATTTAATATATTAAAATTATTATGGCTATTTCTGTACATATTTTTCACATCAGTTATTGAGCATTCCTCTTCAACTAATTCTGTTTCATACAAATTCCAAAAGTTTAACTTAATTTCAAATAAGACTAAGTAACCTTTTACTTCAAATACTATGCTTCTGCCTTACTTTAAAAAGTATCATGAAAACCAAGATCAGGTCATAAAATATTCATTATCGTATATTTCTTACATAATTTTTCTCATCCATAGTAAGCATAAAAATTTACAAATATAGACATATAGACAGTAAATGATGTTTCTTTTTCTGACAAAATCAGTGTCAGTGGTTCCATTCTGATTTGCCTGTAAAAACAAAGCCAGCTATAATTTTAAGATTCCTATTTGTGAATGGACATTTTTTTCTCTGATATGTCTACACTCAAGCACTATATATATATATGCATACTCTGACACATATGTGTGCGTAGTCACCCACAGCAACATATACACACATATGTTAATTAGACATGAATCAGTGGCACTTTCGAAAAATGAGTTAGGTTTTCTCTCTGCCCAGCTGCAGTGGTTGGTTGCCATGGAAATGATGCACAAAGTAGAGCTTTCAGAAAACACAAATGTTAATGTGTCTTTATTGGACAAGTTCATAAATTAATCAGAAAAGAAGATAACTTTAATAACAAAGCAATGCAAATATCCTAGTAACAAAAGTTGTCTGCTTTTATCAAATATAATTCATTATCTCTTTTGCTCTGACCTTGACTGAATTGCACATCAGTCTTCTCTGCACTCTGCAATAAGTAAACAGGTAGCTAGTTTTTAAATTAATGTTAGATTTCATCTTTAATTACTATATGCAGAGAGTTAATTTATGCTTCATTAAATACTGCATAGAGTCAAGATTGATTTCTGCAGTTCTCTGCTTCCATAGATTGTCTGTTATTTCCAGAGTGCTTATCTGCCTTCAATACTTTCTGCTATCATGTCCCAACCCTAATTAATGATAACTTGGTTTTCCAAAGCCATAGTTGCTTGGAAAATAGACTAAAGAAATTCTTGCCAATTTTGAAATGCTTTTCTGTCATAATATGTTGTTTGTTCTATGTGTATAATTTTATATAGAGCCAATTACAGAAAAAAATTAAATATATAAAATATTTTTAAAATAAGTAAAAATCATCCATGAACCATCAAGTAGCTGTAAACATTATTAACTTTATATATATATGCTTTTTGCTATTATTTTTACCTATTTAGAAAGAAATTGTATTCTTATCCTTTTATAACATTTTCATTTTTAATTTTTTTCTAGGAAATAACTTTTAGATTCAGAGGATATTAGAGTTTTAAAGAATTTTTCTGTCACATGATCTAAGAAGCTTTCCTCATATCATTTTTATCCAGTTATGTAAATTTATTTCTCACATGTTAGTCTGCTGGTTAATTAAAATGACTTTCATTGGATAGTGACACGTTGATCATACCTGATAATGCTGTCTTAAATGAAATAAAAAATATTTATTGATGGTACTTTTTATTGAATATTCAGTGCAGTACAGCTCACACATTAGGTCAAATAAACTAGCGATTGAATAACACGTTAAGGAGAGGTACATTAATACCAATTTAGTCATCTGTTGCTCTTAGGAACAACACTGTCAGCATATTTTCTCAGTCACAGCATTTTCAAACAGGATTATTAAGATTATTCAAGGCTGGTCATGGTGGCTGATGCCTGTAATCCTAGCACTTTGGGAGGCCAAGGCAGGTGGGTCACCTGAGGTCAGGAGTTGGAGACCAGCCTGGCCAACATGGCGAAACCCCGTCTCTACTAAAAATTCAAAAATTAGCCAGGCATGGTGGCGGGCACCTGCAATCCCAGTTACTTGGAAGGCTGAGGCAGGAGAATCACTTGAATCCGGAAGCGGAGGTTATAATGAGCCGAGATGACGCCTGTTCACTCAAGCCTGAGAAAAAGAGTGAAACTTAATCTCAACAAGTAAAAAAAATAAAAAGATTATTCAAGGAGGGCTCAGGGTCTGGGGCGAGCCCAGCCAGGCCCCGCCCACTTCGTGTTCTTCGGCGGAGGCGTGCCTCAGATTGGCGCGAAGGTGATAAAGAGGCGTGACCGGAAAGGCCCCACCCTGCTCGCCCCAGTAGTACTTAAGCGAGTTGGCTGGGCGGCTGCACTCTGCTCCGCTGCTCGGCCTAGCGAGAGTGAGTGGATCTCTTGCACTACTCTTGCTCGACTGGGTGACCCCGGCACCTCGGCCACCATGCCGCGCTCTTTCCTTGTCAGGAGGCCCTATGACCCCGATCGGAAGCCAAACTACAGCAAGCTGCAGGACTCTCATCCAGAGTTTACCTTCCAGCAAGCCTACGAGCAGGCCCACTTGCTGGCAGCCACCATCCCATGTCCGGAGATCCTCAATCCCACCGCCTCGCTGCCAACGCTCATCTGGGACGCTTTCCTGGCCCTCCACGCCCAGCCAGTTGCCCAGGCCTCCCTCCAGTTGGGAATCTCCCAGGACAGTCGCAAGGCGGCAGAGCTGAACTCGCTGTCGGATGAGGACAGCGGGAAAGGCTCCCAGACCCCCAGCCCACCGTCACAGGCTCCTTTGTCTTTCTTCTCCACTTCAGCCTCTTCCTTGGAGGTCGATGCCGATGCCGCCTTGCCAGGCTTGGGCCAAGTGCCCAAGCCGCTGGCCCAGCTCTCTGAGACCAAGGATTCCCAGTTTCGAAAAGCCTTCAACTGCAGATACTGCAATAAGGAATGCCTCAGCCTGGGTGCCCTCAAGATGCACATCCGAAGCCACACGCTACCCTTCGTCTGTGAAACCTGTGGGAAGACCTTCTCCAGACCCTGGTTGCTGCGGTGCCATGTCCGGACCCACACCGGTGAGAAGCCCTTCTCCTGTCCCCACTGCAGCCGCGCCTTCGCCGACCGCTCCAACCTGCGGGCCCACCTCCAGACCCACTTGGAGGTCAAGAAGTACCAGTGCCAGGCGTGCACTCAAACCTTCTCCCGAATGGCCTTGCTCAAAAAGCACCAAGAGTCGAGCTGCTCAGGGGGCCCCCACTGACCCTAGAGGCTCCCTCTTCCTCTCCATACCTGAGCGCCCCCCAAAACCAACAGCCTCCCCAAGCTCCAGAAGGAAGGATCCCACGTCCTTCTCACTGCCACGTAATTCCCACTTCTGGCTGCATCGGCCCCACGGGACTTTGATGGAAACCCTTTCTGATTCTGTTCCCTCTGCCTGGATCCCTCAGCGGACTCTGAAAGAGGCCTTCCCGTGGCCATATCTGTGGATGACTGGCTGGAGGGCAGCTGGCAGCGCCAGCTCGGGGGCATTATTGAGCTGGCCTTTCTGCGCGTGTTTGTATTCAGAGCTGTTTGGATATAGCTGCTTTGAGCTACAGGACAAGAGCTGACAGACTGACTGGGAAGTTCCCACCCCAGTCAGGGGACCCCTCCTTCCTGCCCAGGAACCCTCAGGCCACCCTCCATGAGGTGTGACTACAATAATCGACCCCCAGACTCAGCCACACCTTCGAGGGAGCTGGCCAACACCAGGATGTGCCTAGAGCCTGAGATGCCCGAGGCTGGGCAGCTATTTCAGCCTCCTGTTTGGTGTGGTTTACACCTGTTCCCAGGCAATTTAACAGTGTCCCAAAAGGGACTGTGAATAATGGCGGCCCAAGTGAGGTGCTCTGGTTTGCCGGATGTATCTCCCAGAATTATTCTGGGAGCCCAACTAGTAGCCTGGGAGGAATATGTTTACATTTTTCAAGGTACATTGATACTTATATTTCAAACATTTTGCATGAAAGAAACGTTTTGTATAGTTATGTGTGCAGTTTATTGATATTCAATAAAGCAATTTATATATTTTTAAAAATATTCAAGGAGTACCCGAGAATGTTGTTTAAAATAAATATTCCTGGACCACAACCTCTGAAATTCTGGTTTAGGAAGTCTGGGACAAGACCCAGTACCTGGGTTTTTAACAACCTCCCTCCTTCCTATCCTTCTTGGAAGGAAGGATTCCCATGAAGGTGGTTCATGGTCATCTCATATGGAGCACTGCTGTAGGAATTTGAAGTAATTTATGGAACTCCTTAATCTAATTTACTAAATAGAAATATTTGGGGACTTTACAGTGTGGGGCAGAGTAATGGGTGAAGAATAACTACCAGTTATTCCAATGGGGAGAAAATATTTGATTGAACTAGTAATAACTGTCTTGACTACAGCAGCCTAGACAAGAAAACAACGGTTTCACAGGCTCCTATAATAAATCAAATGATTGTCACAAAGCCTTGAAGACCTAAAATTACCCAGCTGGCAGCATGACAACCCTATACTCTGTCTTTTGTTTATAAATCCAAGAGTACAGCGTGGTTGGGGGGGAGGAAGAAATCCTATCATCTGAGGTATAAATAATTGGCTGAGAGGATTGGGTTGGGTCCTGCATCTTTAAGAAGGAGAAATGGGGTGGGTGGGGAAGGGAAGATTAGTGAAAGCCTTTTAGGAAATGGGTAGAAATTAAATCAAGGTTTTTTGTTTCCTTCAAACTGGGTGTCAGGAGTAAATAAGTGGCATGCTGGACAATTAAGGAAATATTAAAACAGGGCTTTTTACCAAAAGTTGTATTTGGGGCTGAGAAGCAATAAATCAATAACTGGCACACCAGAGCAAGCATAATAGAGAAAGAGATTGGAGTGATAAACCCAACCAGGCTATTCAGGCCTGGTTCCTACTGTGAGGGAGTTTGCATTTAATTCTAAGGGTTTGAGCTAGGGAGTGGTGGAATAAGAGGAGAAACTATAAGATTAGTAGGAAGTAATTGCAATAAGCCTGATGAGAGATGTTAGTGGCTAGGACTAGAGTGGTGTCTGCTGAACTGATGAGAAGTGGTTGGAAGGAGAGTCTATGAGACTTCATGATGGATTGAAAGTTGTCATGAAATTGATGTCCAAAGAGTGAGTATCCTAGGTGTCATAAACTCTGGCATACTGTATACGGGAATTTAGGGACTGTAGAGGGCGTCTTTTCATATAATCGTCAACTCACATTGTGTTTGAACTTCTGAACTTCAGTTTATATTTAATTTCCTACTTGTCAAAATATTCAAGAATATCAGACTACAAGATAGCATTGAAATTCAACCCCTCAACCCATCAGACAATGCTGTTAACAAGAGGAAAAATAGGCTGTGTATGGTGGCTCATGCCTGTAATCCCAGCATTTTGGGAGATGGAGGTGGGGAGATCACCTGACGTCAGGAGTTCGAGACCAGCCTGACTAACATGGTGAAACCCCTTTTTTACTAAAAATACAAAATTTAGCAGAGTGTAGTGGCAGTCACCTGTAATCCCAGTTACTTGGGAGGCTGAGGCAGGAGAATTGCTTGAACCCAGAGGCAGAGGTTGCAGTGAACCTAGATCACACCAGCACACTCCAGGCTGGGTGACAGAGCAAGACTCTGCCTCAAAAAACAAAAAAAAAAAAAAAAAAAAAAAAGAGAGAGACAAAATAACAAATTATGGTATGTGCTTCTATAGGGAAATAGAAAAGCTGTAAAAAAAATTTGCAGGGCTTTGTATTTTTGAACTTTTTACTGAAACTCACAGTTGGAATTGTATTTTACTAATGGCTCATAACAAACATATCAAGTGAGACAAAGTTTCACCAAACATCCAAGTCCTTACTGCATAGTTTTTATTCTGCTTAATGGGTTAAATAGTAGCTGTGTCCTATGGAATTATTTTCTTGAACCACTAGTGAGCCATGGATTTTTAATTCAAAAAATATGGGCCTGAGAAGTTGAGGAAAATCTCTGCTCAGTCTCCATGGCTGTATTTTTTGAGAGCGATTCGTGCGTGGGTAGCACCATTTGCTAGTTTACGGTAGGATACAAACATCTCTCTTTTGCATCACCTAAATCAGAAGGAAATTGTGCTTGGGAGTTAAGTTTAGATTTAAGATACCATTTTGAATCCCAGAAGTTCTAAGTTTGTATTTTGTCATTTATTGTCTGTGTTTCTCACTAGACCATATGTTCTTCAAGGTGAGGACGTTAAACTTATCTTTAAATCTGCTAATATCTTAGTCAGTTTTGGATGCCATAACAAAGTACCATTGCCTGGGTGGCTTCTAAATAACAAAAATTTATGTCTCATGGTTCAGGAGGCTGGAAGATTGAGATTGCAGTGCTAGCGCAGCCAGGTTCTGGTGAGAGCCCTCTTCCGGGTTGCAGATAGCTATCTTTTCGTTGTATGTTCACTTAGTGAAAAAAGGGCAGAAATCTTTCTGGAGTCCTTTTTTCATAAAAGCGTTCATCTCATTCTTGAGGACACTACCTTCATGACCAAATTATCTCCCAAATGCCCCACATCCTAATACCATAATGTTAGGGATTATGAATTTCAACATATGAATTTTGTAGGACACAAACATTCAATTTGTTGCACCTAAGATACCTAGGATGACATATTAATCTGAGTAAGTTCTTAAAACTACTTTGTGGTAGAATTAAATTGAATACTAGGTAATGAATATATTATGTGTTTAAACAATAACAGAATCCCAGGAACTTGAGATTTTTTTTTTAATTAATTTTACTCTCTTACAAGGGTATGTAACTTTAGAATTTTCAAAATTGTTTATTTTCCTGATATGAAACTTCTGTTTCTTAGCATTTTTTACCTTCCTTAGTTATTTTACATATTTTCACAATTGAAATTAAATTAACTCAATGAGGTAAGCAACGCAAATATCATTCCTATTTCTATCAGGGTAAAAGTCAAACCCAATCTTAGCGTAAAAGAAGCATTGAAATCTGAACGTCCTCTGTTTCTATAGCTCTCACTCTCATCATTGTTCATCACCCAAATTACTCACCAATTACTTATGGTCTCCCCTTCAAACCCATATTTTTAAAAGTCATACTTTTGTAGGCATTGTTCCCTCTGACAGAAATGCCAATCCTCCCTCCTGCCCAAACCTCAACTTTGCCTGGTCAATTCCTATCCACCATTCAAAACTCTCTCAGTATTTCTACTTCCAAGAGATGTTCAGTGAAAGTAGAATGAGAGACCAGTTAGAAGAATATTAGAATAAACCACATAAGAAACAAGTAAATGAATAAACAAATAAGAAAAGTAGAGCTATAAGCCATGTTGTGCTGCCCTCAGAGGGCTTGACTGCCAGTATAATTATTTTCTTTCTGCTATGGGGAACAGGGCCTCTCTCGTGATACCTCCATGCCAAAGGTCCCGCTATGCCACCTACTTTGACGTTGCTGTTCTGCGCTGCCTACTTCAGCCCCATTGGTCTGAGGAAGGCACTCAGTGGTCTCTGATGTACTATCTACAAAGGCTGCGACACATGTTGGAAGAGAAGCCAGAGAAGCCTCCAGAGCCAGATATTCCTCTACTGCCCAGACCCAGGAGTAGCTCCATGGTGGCGGCAGCTCCCTCACTAGTGAACACCCACAAAACCCAAGTAAGAAAAATTAAGTTCATTATCATTCAAATGAGCAATGTTGCCATTGCCATAATGAATTTTCTTTTCTTCTCTGTTCATCAAGCTCTTATGTACTTGAGTGCTATTTGGTTGGTAGATTACACTGTTGACATTATCTTTTCCCTTCCGTCTTGCACGCTTGACCCTTTGCTGCTCTTTAGCACATAATAATTTGAAAAAGTGCACCTCTTGTACATGCTAATTTAGTATAAGTCTTTGTTTATCTAGAATAGTGGAAAATTGGGTCTTCTGGATAATCAAAGTAGTAATTAATAGAGACTTCTGACATTTAATCTGTTGATTACCAATATCATAAAATGTGTAGCATAGCATTTTAATAAACATGATGTAACCTCTTTTACATAACTCAACATTTTTCAGTGTCTTAATGTCATCATTAGGAATATCACATTTTGATAGTCTTGCTATTTGTCATAAATGTTTGGAGAAGTAAACTGAATATGTGATGATATGGTGATATCCTCATGACAATTGCTTTTTCATAAATGAATGACCTAATATCAGCTTGAACACTTGTTCTTCTCCTCTTTCTCATCGACACTAGGTGCTGTAAACGTAGAGAAAACTGTGACTTATAGTATGTTCCAGTTGTTTGGATTTACTTAAATGTGAATTGGCAGAGTCTGAATTTTTTTTCTGCATATTCTGAAAATAAACATGAGCAATATCAGAATTAACAAATATATAATCTGTTTTAGAGTAAATATTCTGCCTAAGTGGGTATCTGCTTTACTGAATCATTTGATGGAAAAAAACACTCATTTCAATTAAAAAAAAAGAGAGAGAGATCATCTTCTATTTTCTTAGCATTCTAGATCTGGTTCTGCAGGCCTCACTGCTGAAAACTCCAAACAGAAATTATAATTAATATGAAATATGTCTTCTCACTAGCAGAATTTGGATTCTAGAAGTCCAGACATATAAGTTAAATTCTTCATAGATATCAAAGCAGTAGGTACATCCCTATTAAAAATGTAATATTTCAATAAGAAAAGTATTTGAATGTAAAGTCCTAAGTCCTTGATCATTGTTTACCTTTATTAAGGATCTCACCATGAAGTGTAATGAGGAGGAAAAATCTCTCAGCGCTGAGGCCTTTTCCAAGGTTTCACTGACCAATCTGCGTAGATCTGCAGTCCCAGATCTTTCTTCAGACCTGGGCATGAATATTTTTAAAAAGGTGAGTAGAAATCCTTATGCTCTTTGATATTTTGGTAATTAAAAAATGTCAATGGGGCATGAGATGTTTCTAGTCATACTGCAGTATGTGTTGGGGTGGGAAAGGGACCCTAGAAACCCAAGT